TTAGGAGAGAAAATAGTACTTTCAATCCAGTACCAGTAAGAGAGAAAAAACAGGATTCCACAGGAATCTAATTAAATGAATAGTAGATATTAGAGAGTTAAGCAAACTTATCTGTCTCTTCATGTGCCCACACCAACTCTCCACCATGTGAGCTGGATAGAATACAGCCCAGTGAAATAGGTCAGGGATAAAAGCAAGGTTCAGAATACAATCACTGGCAGGTCATCCAAGGGTATACTTTTGTGTGTGTGTGATGCAGGGAGAGGGGATGGAAGGCAAATGAAAATGGTTGATCCTAATTGTAGCAAAAGAAGTCCTGTCCCCAACTCACACAGAAGGGGGAAGTTAGAGCACTGGCTTTTCTATCCCCACCATACCAGTCAGAGTTACTGATATCCCAAGGGAACATTAACTCACAGGGATAAACAACGACTGTTGACCACAAGTAACACTAAAATCCAGAGGAAGCAGAATTAATGCACTAGACAGACCAAAAATTTAATATGTTAATAAAGCATATCTTAGTACATGAGGAAAGACATTAGATAGGTGAAACAGAAAACCATTTATGAAGAAAAATCAATATCAGCAATTGGGCATGAAAAATGTAATAGCTGAAGTGAAGAACTTGGCAGGAGGGCTGAATGGGCAGAAGGAGTACAGCAGAAGAAAGAATGCGTGCTCTAGAAGATCAGAGATTAGGAAGGAATAAAGAAAGAGGGGGAGGCAGTGACAAGTTAGGAAGCACAGAAGTAGAACATTAACATCTATGTAATACAACTTTCCAAATTTACATTGCAACTAGAAGTTAGCATTCTGAAGAACACAAAGAACTGCATAACTAGATGCAAACATTATTATGGCAAAAAGCAATATGAGATCTATGCTTCATGCTATTTATGCAAATTGAAACACGTAACTCTGTACTTTAGAAATAGGACTGTCTAAAGACACATGTTGAGCCTGTTAGAGTAGGTGCCTCTGAGAATGAGAATGAGAGGGAGATAGAGAATAAAGGGGAAGACAATAAGGTAAACCAAAAGGGAGGTGTAACTCTACTCTGGCGACTAAAAAAAGCTTTTTTTAAAGATAATGGGTGAATAGACAGATAAAAGGAGGCTAAGTGATTATCTAAAGTCACCAGGGAATCACAAAGAAAAACTAAAAGGATGTTTCTTCTTCACAACAAAAAAGACTTTCACTGTCCTTTCTATAGAAGGCACTGTCCTATGTGCTGGGAATACCAAGGTGAGTAAGATACTGTCTACTTGCAAAAATGACTGCTATTTCCCCCACCCAAACAGCTCTGGAAAAGTGTTTTTTATACTCATCTTGCTTTCAATATAACAAGCATAACTGATATTGAAATGTAAATCCTATCTCCTTCACAGGATTTGAAAATTAAAGAGTTTGAGGTCATCCATGCCTACTTCTCGTTGCTTTGGGAATCCCTTCTATTTCTCAACCTTTGGAAATCTACTTTTCTGTCATGACCATGAATTTTTATTATTTCTTTCCCACAGAATGGATGTGGACAAGTCTATTGCCTCTAAGACAGCTCTCCTTAGCCTCTTTTCTCTGGCTTACACATTACAAGGGCTTTAACTATCATCATAGACATCCCAGTCTGATTGCTGTTTGCCTTATTCTGGTTTGACCACCCCCTCCTAACCAACAACTCATATCCCATCCATCTGTTCAAACCCCATCCTTCCAGATAGCTGTCCTGGATCACCCCAGAATACAGAACCACTCCCTCTTGTGCATGTACAATGATGGGGTATCACTCAACACAAATGATTCGGAGGCTCCTGAAGTCTTAATAACCATTTATATTGCCAGTGAATTCTCTAGTGTCTGAAATTCATGGCAAATATCTTAAGAACCTTTTTGTATCTACAAGTTATATTTGGGCATTCATCTTCATATGACTGAATCAATCTAAATAATTATTCAACATTTTTGTAATTTGTAATCAAAGATGGATTTAAGATTGATGACTTCATAGCCTGACCCACAGTTTGGAAGAAAAATCTTACATTGGAAAGAAGCCTTCACAGAAATAAATAAAACAAGAAATCCCAATAAATAAACTAATCCTTTGTTTTTTTAGAAAATAAATTTGCCAGTTATGATGGTTCATGCCTGTAATCCCAGCAATTTAGGAGGCTGAGGTAGGAGGATCACTTGAGGCCAGGAGTTCATGATCAGCCCAAGGAACATAGCAAGACCCCATCTCTACAAATAAATAGAAAAATAAATAAATAAAAAATTAGCCAGATGTGGTGGTGTGCAACTGTAGTCCCTGTTGCTTGGTAGGCTGAGGTAGGAGAATCACTTGAGCCCAGGATTTCAAAGCTGTAGTGGACCATGATTGCACCACTGTACTCCAGCCTGAGCGTCAGAGAAAGACCCTATCTCAAAAAAAAAAAAAAAAAAAAAAGCAAGGAAAATAAATTTACTCTCGGGGATGCTGTAGAAAAACAGGTTTCTCTGCCTCACTTTTCAAAAACAGTTTGACTTGAAAACTACTTGAGTACATGGGGCAGTTCTCAGCTTCTGCACAGGACACAGAGTAGTTCAGGTCCCTAAAGGAAGTGAATATACTTGTCTGGAACCTCCAAAGCTCAAACAATCCTCCCACCACAGCCTCCTTCATAACTGGGACCACAGACATGTACCACCACACCTGGCTAATCATTTAAATTTTTTGTAGAGATGGAGTCTCTATGTTGTCCAGGCTTGCCTAGAATATTATTTATTTCTATCAAGCCATGAAAAGACATAAAGAAAACTTAAATACATATTACTAAGTGAAAAATGCCAATCTGAAAAGGCTACATACTGTATAATTCTAACTACATGACATTCTGGAAAAGGCAAAACTGAAAACAGTAAAAAGATCAGTGGTTGTCAGGAGTTGGAGGTGTGGAAAATAATGAACAGGCAGAGCACAGAGGAGTTTTAGGGCAGCAAAAATAATCCATATAATTCAGTGATGCTCAATCATTCAATACATGTCATCATACATTTGTCCAAACACATAGAATGTACAATACCAAGAGTGAACCCTCATGAAAGCTATGGACTTTGGATAATAATGATGTGTCAATATAGGGCCATCCATTGCTGCAAATGCACCACGCTGGTGGGGATGTTGATAACGGGGGAGGCTATGGATGTGTGGGGGCAGGGTGTATGCGGAAATCTCTATACCTTCCTCTTAATTTTGTTGTGAACTTAAAACTGCTCTAAAAATAGTTTTAAAAAAATTATTGTTTACATCCCTCATATCTGCAACTTAATATTGATGGAAAGAATATCTATATTTTTTGTTTATGCACATCAGAAGTTGAAATATGAGCTATAAATTATGACAAAAACTGTGCCCTACTAAGGTCAAACATTAACAAATATTCTACTCCAGACTGTCTACAGGACTAGAGGAAACCATGACTCCGCATTTACAGTGAATATAACCCCAAGGTATGTCTAAATTATGTGTATATTATACACTGGTTTTTTTTTTTGTATTAAAGGAAGTAGTGTCTTATGCAGTTCTGGTGATCTGGTGCTTAGCATTTGGGGCTTTTGATAGAATTTTCACTGATAAAACTTTAGTTTGATATAAACAGAATAAATTGCTATATAATTCAATGAAAAAAGTTTGATACAAACAGAATAAATTGCTATATAATTCAATGAAAAAAGTTAACCTCCACAGATAAACCAAATGCTGAAAAATTTGAAGAACTTAAAAAACAATCAATCATTACCAGTCAATAGTCGTCTCTAAGTGTACCTTTTATCAATCAGTCAAATATTCAAACAAAACACTTTGAATGCCTACAAGACACTGGAGTGTTCAAACAGGAGCAAGAAACTGAAACAAATGTGTCATGATCCCTATAAGAAGATTTAAGTCTAAATAAATGCAGTCTAAATAACGGATTCTGTACTCACCCTGCTGACTCCTATCTTCCCAGACGTGAATATTTGACTCGTATAGCATATATTCAACTATTGTCTAGTTGTGTTGGCCCACTGTTTTCTAGAGCTTTATGACTTAGCGCTACCTACAACTGTCAATCATCTAACATATTAATAATACAAAGTTCTCTAAATCTTGATAGTGAATATTCACTGTTTCCATTCCATCTACTATGATGGACTTTTGTTTTGAGATTAACATGGAGGCTCTGTAAAGAATTTTGGAAAGTATTTATAGGCCCCAGATGTATAAATACATTGATTTCCAAATAACAAGACACAATGGAGAGAAGGTCAACTGCAACAACGGGTGCTTTACCCATCTTGCTTTCAGTACTTCATGCTTACATTTTAGTGCATTCTATACACCTACAAGTGGCTGCCTGGTTGGTAGCCATTACTTCTTGTAAAACTGAGAAATCTGAAGCAAGTTAAGGAACCAAAGAAGTATAAATGGGAACAGCAATCAAACTATATCTGGCAGTCATAAAAATGACTCATAGTAGTGATATTTCAGTGTAGACAAAAAGTTTTTAGAAAGCTAAAAAAGTGTAATATTTAAGAGCTTGGGCCTTTGTATTAGATAAAACCTACAAATGAGTTTCAAATCTGCCACTGACAAGATATATTACATTGGTCAAGCAACTTTGCATTTCCAAGTCTGGGTGTTTTATTTGTTTTGATGCATAAAATGGGGAAAATAATACCTCCCCTTAGGGGTCTTGTTATAATGTTGATAATGCATCTCATATACATAGCATAGTGTCTGGCACATAGTAACTATTCAGAAAAATATAGTTATTGTTGTAGAAGCTGTTAATTTGTTTATCATTTTCTGGAAGCCCTATCTATGCACAGTGGTATTTTCTAATGTTATTGGGATATTTTTTTACATGAATAGATTTATCAAAGAGAGTTTTCAGTTTTCCTCTAAATTACCCATAGAAGCATATTCAAGAAAACTTAATTCATTTTTCAATTATTTTTAACATGTCTAATATATCTCTTACCTTTGCTTTTATTATCAGTTCCTCGTGCTTACGAATTAGATCCTCATTGTCTGAAAGTGATGAACCTAGACTTTGTTCCTGTAAATCTCTTATAGTTTTCTGAAACCAACAAGTAACCTAAGAAGCAGCAAAGAAAGATCAAAATTCAAATGATCAGAATAAGTGAGTAAAAATTTCAGAAATAGTCCCTCAAACTTCCAAAACTTAAGCTACTTTAATTTCTTTATATAAACTATATCATGTATTTACATCATATGAATAAGTTTTAAATTTTTTCTTCATTTTAACCTCTACATGCATAAGAGAAAACAAATCCCCGATAAAGTATGAAAATGACTAATCAGGTCAGATTACATGGCATAAAGAAAATCAAAATTTCCTAACAAAGAATCAGAATAGATTCCCAAGTAGTCTATAAATCACGAATTATTTTAAAATATGTCTTCTTTCCTAGAAATATGAATCTAAGTATAGTTATATAAACACATATGAAGATGTTAAAACAGTTTATGCAGAATTATATTTTCTGCCATAAAAAAGACAATACAAAAATATTTAGTTTGCTATAAGTGTTGGAAAGCTATATCCATAAAACAGAGGTTATTAAAATCCATTAACATTATAAGTGGTAAGGGCATGACTCACATTCACATTGACTTGATTTATAATACATTCCATACACAGTGCTGAAACTACAAATAGCAAAGGACTTGAAACAATCTATACATTTTTAAAAGATTCCATAACTTGACATGGGGGCCCTGGATGCAGATTCCTTATCCCAATTAAAGGAGACTTAAATTTTTACTCTTGAATCCTGTATAGCATTATTCTTACGATCACGTCATAATGACTGATTCTTTTTTTTTTTTTTTTTTTTTGAGATAGAGTCTTGCTCTGTCACCCAGGCTGGAGTTCAGTGGCTTGAACTTGGCTCACTGCAACCTCTTCCTCCCAGGTTCAAGTAATTCTCTGCCTCAGCCTCCTGAGTAGCTGAGATTATAGGCATCCGCCACCACACTGGCTAATTTTTTTTTTTATTGCATTTTAGGTTTTGGGGTACATGTGCAGAGCATGCATTACAGTTGCATAGGTACACACATGGCAGTGTGTTTTGTTTGCTTTCTCCCCTTCACCCACATTTGGCATTTCTCCCCAGGCTATCCCTCCCCACCTCCCCCTCCCACTGGCCCTCCCCTTTTCCCCCCAATAGACCCCGGTGTTTAGTACTCCCCTCCTTGTGTCCATGTGTTCTCATTTTTCGTCACCTGCCTATGAGTGAGAATATGTGGTGTTTCATTTACTTTTTGTATTTTTAGTAGAGACAGGGTTTCATCATGTTGACCAGGCTGGTCTTGAACACCTGACCATGATCCACCCACCTCAGCCTCCCAAAGTGCTGGGATTACAGGGGTGAGCCACCAGTGCCTGGCCATAATGACTGATTCTTAAGAGACAGCTACAAACTAGACAGTTTGCTAGTTGCTTTTTGGGCATCATCTCTATTTCTCTCAACAACTTTATAAGAGTCATGATATCATCATTTTTTAAATGAGATAACGGATTTTTGAAGTGGTCAAGCAACTTATCCACAGCCACAAAGTAAGCAGCAGAGACAGAATTTGTCCTCCAGTCTGCAGGATTTCAAAATCCATGCTCTTTCCATTGTACCCAGGTGCCATGCTTGAGACATTTAAAGTCTTACAGCCCTTCCATCAGGGGTAATGACTTCAAATCTGGAAAATGAACACTGGTAGCCCATTCAAAACAATGGGCATCTAAATCCCAAGCCTGATACTGTGTCTTTCCCCAGCCTAGGTTGGGGAAAGGCACACTGCTGTTGTGCCTGCAGCATCTCAGAATTTTTCTCTAAAGTCCTGTAACATGGAGAAATGTGTGAAACAGGTGGCCAAGGTGAACTCTAGATTAGACTGGAAGTTCCACACAATACATGCACATGACACATGGCATACACACACACACACACACGTCAGAGTTAAGGGCTTGCCTAGAATAGGACACATCATTTATATGGCTGATATCACAAAGCTGGCTATGGGATCAAAAGATCTGCACCAACTCTTTGTATTTTTCCAGCATGGAATTAGGCAGTTAAAAAGCAGGGTGGAAGCATTTCTCCAGCTTTCGGCTAACTGGAAATGTCTTTACTAACCATCATTTTAGTCCATCATTAGTGCAAAGAAAAGAATGCTGGTGGCCTTGTAGCAGCTTTCATGTGACATATATCTCATTTTCTTTCAAATATTTGGTAATCTTTGCACAATACAATGCACATATTATCTAGTTAGTCCTCATGATATATAAGTATTGTGCTTATTTATTCACAATTATTTGAAGACAGTCAGTTTTTCTGTCATCTAATTAGAGCTAGATGATACTTGCAATGTGCCTATTAAAACACAGAGAATGTATTTTAACAACAGCTTATCATTTATTTTATTATGAAAAGCAAAATAATTTTCTCCCTGAAATTCAGTGATCCCCTACAAAAACACAACTAGAGCAATGATTTAAGGGTTTTCTAGAAGTAAAGTGGATTGCAAATATAACTAACTTCCAGAGATCATTTATTTTATTAAATGAAAGTGAGTTTTATTTATTCTTAGCTAAAGTGGGAGGGACTCAACATCTCAAGAATGATTTAACAAGGACAATTAATATAGAATCACAGTGGATGAAAAATGGGTACAAACAGGTGTTTGCTAATCTCTAAAAACAGGTGACAAGCCTGAACCCTCAGATAATCTTATTAAACTTTATGAGTCAAAGACTTGTCATCTAACACATGCCAGCATGATGAAAGCTGTGAAAGAGTGAGTTGTTTTGATTTTTAAATGGTATACTGACCTCATCTCCTAGATTTGGCACATACTATTTCAACTCTCCAAAGATATCATTCTTGTAAGACAATACTATTCCCTTTAGGATAAAGTAGTTAAAGAACTACAATAATGTTCAGTGTATGTTGTTCACGTTCCTGCCTGTTAAATCATGCTGACTCTCTAGATCTACAGATTTTACTACCAGATACATCCTGGAAAGAAACATAAAAACAAGTTGGCATAAAATTCAGAAGTTAAGTAGATCATCATGAGGATGCTACATCTCATTATGAGGTATTCACACACAGGAACAGACTCTTAGATCAGATTTACCAGGTATGCTGTGGGATGCACACAAAATAGGCTCTCAGAGTCCTTCTGGTGATAAAATAAGACACCTTAAATAACCAGGAGCATGTCAACCATAATATTCTGCCACCCAGTAAATCAGTCATTGTGCCCAGCGAGTAGCTACTGCAGACAGCTGCACAGATATTCTAAGTGCACTTTTTATAAGCTTTTAAATTATATCAGCTGCTGTCCAGAAGCCTGAATGATAAGTACAGTAAGTGATGCACCAGGACACTTCTGTAGAACATGATCCCTGCAAAACAATGCAAACAGGAGCCGCAAGCTGAGGAGATGTGCAAAGGAAAGAAAACAAAAAATGTTCAAAGTATGCACTGGAAATTGGTTCTGGACACTGATGGATTAAAAGGGTAAATTAGAACATTTTTCCTTTCTTCCCAGTTCCTATGTTTCAGTTTCATCTGAGCAACATGATCATGGTCATCCCATCAATTTGATAGGGATTCTAGGTACTTGATGCCCAAAGGAGGTAGAACTCAGCAGAGAAGGAGGGAGGTAGATTTGTGTGTGTGTGTGTGTGTGTGTGTGTGAGTGTGGAGTGATAGGGTGGCAACTATCACAGAGTGACAAGAGATGGAGAAAAAGGAAGGTCAGCACAGACACAGAGAGGAAGCAATTAGGAACGTTCAATGAAAACCAAGAGCTGCCTGAAAGTTAAAGTGGGTGGCAGGAAAATCTGTACTGTCCAATACAGTAGCCACTAATTATACATAGCTATCTAGTACTTGGAAAGTGACTAGTCCCGATTGAGACATACTCCATGTGTAAAGCACACAGCAGATTTCAGACTTAGCATAAAATATAATAAAAATATCTCACTAAGAAATGTTAGTATGAGTATAGTGGCTCATGCCTGTAAACCTAGCACTTTAGGAAGCTGAAGTAGGTGGATCCCTCGAGCTCAAGAGTTTGAGACCACCCTGGACAACATGGCAAAACTCAGTCTCTACTAAAAAATTAGCTGGGTCTGGTGGCACACACCTGTAATCCTAGCTATCCAGAGAGGCTGAGGCAGGAGGATCACCTGAGCCTGTGAAGTCAAGGCTGCAGTGAGCCAAGATCCTGCCATTGCACTTCAGCCTGGGCAACAGGAGTGAGACCCTGTCTCAATGAAAAAAAAAATGTTAGTATTGATTACTGATTGAAAAAACATTTCAGATATGTTGGATTAATTTAAAAATCGTATTGCTTTTCACCCTTTTATGTGGCTTTTTACATTTTAATTTCCTTTTTACTTTTAAAATGTGGCTACTAGACAATTTAAAACCACATCAGTAGTTTGCATTATATTATTATTGGATGGTTAACCAATTAAAATATATTTGGACTGTCTTTATTTGTTAAATGTAGACCTAAGGACTGAGCTTTAATTAAGGATATTTTAAAAAGTGGAGTCAGAAGATCAGTGTAAGATACCAGTTGGTAAGCATTTATGAACATCTAAGTAGGGGGTGAGGAAGTAAAAACCAGAGACGCTTTCGAAAACTGTTACTGGCTGCTACAGTTTTGATGTTTGTCCCCTCTAAACCCCATGTTGAAATTCGATCCCCAGTGTTGGAGACAGGATCTAATGGAAGGTGTTTGGATCATGGGGGTGGATCCCTCATGAATAATAGAGTAATGCCCTCCCTGGGTGGCGGCTGGGGGGAAGTTCTCCCTTTATTAGTTCCCAGCAGACCTAGTTGTTAAAAACAGCCTGGGGTCTCCACACTTTCTCTTGCTTCCTCTCTTGCCATGTGATCTCTGTACATGCAAGCCCCGCTTCACCTTGCACCATGGGTGGAAGCAGCCTGACGCTTTCAACAGATGCCCAATCGTTCAGCCAGCAGAATCATGAGCCAAATAACCTTTCATATTTATAAATTACCCAGTTTCACGTGTTCCTTTGTAGCAGTGCAAAATGAA